GCGGGTGGGTGTTAATAGGGGTGGGTGGTGGTTTGGCTGGTTTTAATCATTGGGGAGGGCGGACAGTACCTCGCCAGACGGTCAACCTGTCTTTGGGAGCGACGGCGTCGGTTCCTCCCATCCCGGGCCTGTCGGTGCTGATGATCCGGATCTTGTGCTTGATGGCGAGAGCGTCCTTGGTTGACAACACTAGCCGAGACCCCATTAAGGGGCCAGAAAATAGCATGATGCGCTCTTGCTCCTGGGTGGGCTTCGTTGCGGTAGCCATAGTCGGCGTATTTAATCTTGAAGGGCCCCGCCGTGCTACCAGGAGGGATATACTCAAAGGTTTGGTTGAAGCGCGGGTCGTTGAGGAAATCCGCATTTGTGTGAGTTGCCATTTTGGGATGAAGCCTGGGAATGGTTGAGACAACAATGACATTGCGGTAATTTGGTACCTATTATATCCGAAGGATTCAGCTGCATATAAGGAGGTTCCGACGGCCAACGGATCCTAAGTGGACTTGGCATTCGACTCGCACGATATTACGGGGCCAGACCTAGCCATGGAACAGGGGCTTAAACATATCAGCAGTACGAAGTTGGGACGGTCCCGTATGCTCGAGGTGCCGCGTCATGTCAAGTGGGAACAACGTAAAACCCCAGGATTACGTATTGCCGCACACACTAGTGCCAGGTACCGAAATCGGGTAAGGGGAACGCTTTGGGCCATAGGTAGCTCATAAGCAGGGAGTCAGGGACAAGTGTAATAGGTACCTACCTGGGTATCTACCTGCTCACATAGAGGAATACCGAGGTCAGGGACGTACGTATCACCAGCCATCACAAAGCCCTTTGTTAGGTAAATAACACTGAACTCCGTCTATCTGCATGTGAATCATATTTCCTATCTTTCGAACAGCGCTTCTTCCTCTCCTACCCCCGCACACAGGCTGCCTGTTCAACTCCTGATTCGGAACCCACTCTGTTTTGTTCAAAGATTCATGTCCACGCCATGAACCGCCTGCATATGCATCAGAATGGGCCAAGATCATGTCGTGAATTCAGCGGCCACAAGTGTCTACATGTACTTCGGCAGGTGTTAGAACCCGAACTGCCACGGGAATGAAACCAAAGCGGTATTTATTCACTCCATTTAGAGATTTTTCCTTTCTGCTAGATTTCAGTGTCCTTTCTTTGAGAGTTGTTTTTTTTTCCTCCTTTTTTTTTCTTTCTTTTCTTCCCTCTCCGAAAATCCGCCCTTCTCTGGCATCGGTTTGAGAAGCCTTCGAAGTCGTTTTCTTCTCTTCCTGGCCACTACTCGCACGCGTGCCAAGACACAAGGGCCCCCACTTGTTATCCTCGCACTGGTGGGGCAAACCGGGTGAGCCAATCCACTTGTTTCCCCCAACATTCTTGGACCTTGCATCATCTGGCTTCAGCCTCTTGCATCCCGCATCCGAACATTTTCGCGGGCAAGAGCCGTAGTTCAACATGGCTTTCCACGCAAGTGGGTTGCCGGTGAGTTTATCCCCTATACTAGCTGGCGGCGGCGATACCCTCTCCCCAGACTTTATTTGGCTAACCTACCGCAGAGTATTGCAGCGGCGACCTCGGAGCTGTAGGCCGTCGATTGCGAACACCGCTGCTGATTCCCTGGAGAGGCGCCTATAACCCCCCAACCTCGAACCCCCGATCCTCCCATACTTCAGCTACACACCAACTCCCATCGAAGGCGATCACTGCGGATACCAAGGAAGCGGGCTCGTTTTCCGTGCAGAGAGCCGGCGAGACACGGACGAAGGTCGAGTTGCCCGAGATCCTGCGGGACACCGTTTCGTCACCGCGCTTCCTCGACCACCGCCTTGCCAATGCGTCCCCGACCAATATCTTCTCGGAAATCTCCAACATGCCTTCTCGCTCCCTCACCATGGCGAATCCCCTCATGCGCCGCTCTTACGCGGCCCTGATGGCTCGCCCCTTGACCACTCTCCCCGGCCTCCGCTTTATGAGCACCCACCGTCCGAGCCGTATGCAGCAGTTCTCTTGGCCCACGATTCAACGTCCCTCTCAGAACCTTCAGTACCGGGGCTTCGGCACCGGCGGCGTCTCCCGCGATCTCCTTGCGAACCGCGAGGGTGCTGCCAACCGGAACCCGAACAGCGCCACGGCTCAAAACTCTTTCTACCAGCTCCTTCTCAAGGCTAACATGCCGGCTATTGTTATTGAACGGTACCAATCTGGTAGGCGAATACTCGACTTGTCGGTTTGGTGCAGGTTGCTGACGTGATTAGGACGGTTTGCGACCAACGAGGCGGCTGACGAGGCCTACCAAACCGCGCTGGCCATGATGAACGGCACGACTGGCGGGGCTATCAGCGGCGACCCATCTCTTAATTCTGCCGGTCTTAACGCAAGCCGGCTCCAGGCGGTCGGCCAGGCTGTGGCAGCCCACCGTACCGGCGGCAACATGGCTTTCTCTGCAGGTTCTAACGGCGGTAAGAACGGCCCTCTACACGTCATAGTGGATGAAACCTTCGGCACTGCTGCTCTTCGGTGGATCAAGTTTCTTCTCTGGTTCGGTCTCTGCGCCTATCTCAGCTTGGTGCTCGTGACTATGGTTGTTGAGGGTATGACTAGTCTGAAGCGTCCTAGCAAGGTTGACGGCATCGACCCCAAGGCAGAAAGCCAAAAAGCCCGCTTCTCCGATGTCCACGGCTGCGATGAGGCCAAGGACGAACTCCAGGAACTGGTCGACTTTCTGCGGAACCCCGAGAAGTTCAGCAACCTCGGCGGCAAGCTGCCCAAAGGAGTTTTGCTCGTCGGCCCTCCGGGTACCGGTAAGACTCTGCTGGCTCGTGCCGTCGCTGGTGAGGCTGGCGTGCCCTTCTTCTACATGTCTGGTAGCGAATTCGACGAGATCTACGTCGGCGTTGGCGCCAAGCGTGTTCGCGAACTCTTCAACACCGCCAAGGCCAAGTCTCCTTCGATTGTCTTCATCGACGAGTTGGATGCCATCGGTGGCCGACGCAATTCGCGCGACGCAACTTATGTTCGCCAAACTCTGAACCAACTTCTCACCGAGATGGACGGCTTTGCTCAAAACAGTGGTGTGATCATCCTCGGCGCGACAAACTTTCCCGAATCTCTGGACAAAGCACTCACTCGGCCCGGCCGCTTCGACCGCCACGTTGCCGTTGATCTGCCCGATGTCCGCGGCCGTATCGCCATCCTGAAGCACCACGCCAAGAAGATCAAGATGGGCCCCGATGTCAAGATGGAGGCCATCGCCTCCCGCACTTCCGGTCTGTCTGGCGCCGAACTCGAGAACATTGTCAACCAGGCAGCCGTGCACGCGAGCAAGGAGAAGGCCAAGGCGGTTATGCAGTCTCATTTCGAATGGGCCAAGGACAAGGTCATCATGGGCGCCGAGAAGCGAAGCATGGTCATCACGCCCAAGGAGAAGGAAATGACGGCGTACCACGAAGCCGGCCACGCCCTGGTCGCTTACTACTCCAAGGACACCGCAGGCGAGCTCTACTATGTTACGGTCCTCCCGCGCGGTCTGAGCCTCGGCCACACCGCCTTTCTCCCGTTGATGGACAAGTACTCTTTCTCTGTCCGAGATTACCTGGGCATGATCGACCGCGCCATGGGCGGTAAGGTTGCCGAGGAGATCGTCTACGGCAACGATTATGTGACGAGCGGCGTTAGCGCAGTATGTCTCTAACCACCCCCTCCCTTCAATCTCAATGCCTGCTGACTGAACGTAGGATCTCGATTCGGCAACCCGCACGGCGTGGCAGATGGTGGCCCAGCTCGGCATGTCGGAGCGTCTCGGCCCCGTCGAGTACCTGCGCAAGTACGACCAACTCAGCTCGGCGACGCGCGCCATGGTCGAGTCCGAGGTCAAGAAGGTGCTCGACGAGTCGTACGCCCGCGCCCGCACCCTGCTCGTCTCCCGCCGTAGGGAGCTCGACCTGCTCGCCCAGGCCCTCGTCGAGTACGAGACGCTGGACCGTAGCGAGGTCGAGAAGGTGCTGCGCGGCGAGAAGCTTGTCGACCGCATCTCCATCCCCCCCGGCCCCATGGCCGTGCCCAAGCCCAAGAAGTCCATAGAGCCCGGTCTGCCCATGCCTCCGCTGCCTGGCGGCGGAGATGGCGACGGTGCTGGACCTGGGGGTCCGCCGCCGCCGCCGCCGCCACCAGCCCCCGCGCGGCAAATGCCGGGGCCTGGGAACGACGAGGAGTAGAGGGATGGGAACGGGGAATAGCGCGTTTTGGTTTATGGTAGGGGAATTGAGCTCGACAGGGCTCGAGAGTACCTGCCGAGATTGAGACGATAGGACGGGTCTAAACGGCATGGGTGGCGTTTTGTGTGTTTTTTTCGCACCGCTCCGGGGTGTGTACTGTATGCACACCTCTGTCACGGTGCAGATTCCTTTTTGTTTACAGTGTTAGCACCCTACGGCATCATCTCTACTAACTAGCCTTGGGGAGTCAGCGTGATGGGGAAAGTGATTATGTCCGGCAGCGAAAGAGCAAGTGTATATTATTTGCGAGAGAATTTGCCTTGTGCTTCGATAGATATCACCGACCTAGCATCCAGAACAACTTTAACGAAGATAACGTCTCAAACTCAGTCCTCCCCTTCTTGGTACTCATGTTTCGCATACCCGCCGTGGTCTCTCTACCAAACCCCCGGGATAACCGCCCACCGCCCGCGAATCTTCTCCTCCCCAAACTTCTCCACGTACCACTTGCGCCCGCTCACGGCCCGCGGCAGCATCGCCGCGATCTCGTTGAACAGGAAGCACCTCGCCGGCACGCACCCCCAGCCAGCCGCCATCCAGAACCCAAACCACTCGACCCACTCCACAAAGTAGTGCGGGTACAGCATCACCTTGAACAGCCCCGCCTGCGGAATCTCATACACCTTGTCCACCGCAGCACTCTTCCCATCCCCCTTCTTCCCACTCGCCGCCCTCCTCGCCGCCCGCCTTCGAATCTCCCTCAACGCATCATCATGCCAATAATTCGCCGCCAGCCCCGCAAAAAACACCCCCACCCCGCCCACAAACTGCCACGACCCCGTCGCCGCCGCCCACTCCGCCTGCGTCGCGGGGCCATACCCCGCCAACCACCCCCCAATCGCCAGCCCATTCGTCACCTGGAAAAACACCCCCGACGCCCAAATAATCACATGCAGCGGCGACATGCTCGGCTGCAGAAACGGGAACACCACCGCCCGGTACAGGTAGTGCGTCACAAACAGCCCGCCCAGCAATTTATTCTGCCACGGCAACCCTCCCTCCTCCACCAGTCTTTCCGGATTGATCTGCGCGGGCAGCGTGCGCAGGTGGTACAGCAGCGTGAGGAACCCGGGGATTTCCATGGTCAGCCAGCCCAGGCGGCCGGGCAGGTTGAGGCGGGAGGTCACCGAGGTCTTGCCCATGCCGTACCAGGGGATGAGCCCATTGGAGGGAGGCGGCCAGCGGGAAGAATTGCCAGAGGGTGAGGATCAGGTCGTAGTTGGGCCGGTTGGGCGGGTACCAGTTGGGGATGAGGCCTGTGGTGGTGGTGGTGGTCATGGTGGGTGGTGGTGGTGGAGGCGGTGTGTGTGTTGGGGGGTTGGAGTGGTGGGAAGTTGGTTTGTTGGCTTGTGAGGTGGTAGTCAACTTGGAGTTGTTGCTTGCTTGTTTTTGGGTTGTGAAAGATAGAGTGAAGGCACGAGGGTGATGAGATCAGATGTTGGTGTTTTGTTGGGGAGCTCTTGAAACGGTGACCGCTTGAACTCGACGGATGGATTTCACCGACCGCGGACCGGGCTGGTAGTTAAGTCGGGAGAGAGGGGAAGGAGGCCCAGAAAGGGAACACCCCGAGACATAAATTCAACGCTCCTGCCGGAACTGACACCTTGCCGTTCCAAACTGGCTCCAAAATGGCACGCTGCGATCGGAGCGACCAGAAGTGATGTCAGGGTTCGTGCGGCCATCGCGCCGTTGCATTATGAGCTGCCGAAATCTCCACTCGGTCAGGTTTAGCCAATCATAGGAACCGCTATCTTCAATTAGACTTTTGTGACATGGCAGAACATGGCTGGCACTGTTGCATTGGAACTTTGGGTGCAACAAACACCATCTCAAACATTGGTCTTGAATACGCCACAATACGGATCACGTACGAGAGTACGAAGTAGCACAACCAACAACAGGGGGACGCACGCCCCCATCCGACTAACTCAAACTCCGATTCCGTCCCGAAACGAACAAATAAACCCACTCGCAAACCATCTCTAGATGCTCACTCACTCACTGAAGTTTACAAAAGCATCGCCTCTATCGTGTGCGTGCAACTCTATCCATCCCAACCTCCCAGAATTGATCAGCCATGTCGCTGTCACTTCGGATCGCGCTTCACGCATGACACCCGCGCCATATAAACAAAAATCACAGGCCATAACCGCCCAAAGCCCGAGGAACCCCCTCGCATCGCCGGCCATACCGTATAATGTAGATAAAATAAAAAAAAAAAAAAAACGGAAAGGAAAGGAAAGGAAAACCCAAATTCATGTCCCATGGTCCATGTCTCATAAACACCATCACCCCCCCTCCCCCCCCTTCCCCTCCCCATATCCTAGCCCCCTACCCCCTCACACCCACATACACCCCCCTCACATAACCCACACACTTATCCGACGATGAGCTCCCCTCCGCGTACTGATACTGACCCTGCAGCGCCGGCGGCACTCCCCTCCTATACGGCGCCCCGCCCCGCCCATCAGCCCCCGGGATACCCATTCCCCCTCCCGTGCTGGGGCACGATGATGCCCCCCGCGCCCATGCCCATAGCAGGACTCCTCCCACCGAGCGGCGCGCCCGGCCTCGGGCTCCCCTGCTGCTGTTGTTGTTGTTGTTGTCGCTGCTGCAGCGGTCGGGGTCCGCCTCCCTGCCCTTGCCCTTGGCCTTGCCCCGGCCGAGACCCCGACCCAGTCCCCGTGCTGCTGGGATGGCTGGGGTGGCCCTGGGGTGGGACGTACGGAAGCTGTTTCGCCGCCTGCTCGTAGCTTGGAGGTGCGTCGTCCAGTCCGTCTTCGGCAGGCCGGTTTGTCATCCTGGCTGGCCCGGTGGATGCGGTGGGGGCGGGAGCGTTCCGCGGCGGGATCAGCGAGCGCACTGTTTGTGTTGTCGGCCTGGGCCGGCCGTTGTTAGTGCTGTTGGGGCCGCTCATGTGTCCGTTCACGGAGTGGGATGTGGTTGATGCCGACGCGGGGCGGGCGTGGGCTGGGATGGGCCGGCGGCCGGTTCCAGAGGAGGCCGTGGATGGCGTGAGCGACGCAGTGGGAGTGGGACGGGTGTCTGCCATCGGGCTCACCTCTGCGCTCACCACCAGCAGCACCGCCGGCGCGCCGTCCCCGCTGGATGAATTGTTCTGAGAGCTGCTGCTCACGACGGCGGCGTTCTTGGCTCATTGCGAGCTCCCTCGTCTTCTTCTCCTTGAAGCTGTAGAGCGAGGGGGAGGTCGCGATCCTCTTGCTCGTGGTTAGGGGAGAGGGGCGGCTCGGCGGAAGCGCTTTGCTGCGCGGTCTGCGTGCGGCCGCGCCTGGGTTGTACTGTGGTCCAGTCGTTGTTATTGTCGGACACGGCATCGGCCCAGTTCTCGAGCCCACCATCCTCCGAAAATCCAGGCCGACCGGTGGCACCGCCAACGAGACGGAAATCGCCCGAGAAGAACTCGGCGCTCTCGCCATTAATGTCGACGAGGGACTCCCACACCACCTCGGCGTGACCAGCGTACCCGGCATCCGTAACGAGAGTGAACAATTCCAGGCTTTGTGGGTGTCTATAAAGCGTCGAAAAATGGTCGTTGCGGAACAAGATTGCCATGGACCCTGGTTTCATGGCCGTTTTGATGATATTAAGCCCGGCCTTGGTAAGTTGCGTAGCTGATGTGCTCAAGAACGACTTGATAGTTAAAATGTCTTGGTAAAGTTGCTGCTCCTCGGGTGTGAGGCCTTGGTTGGGATCACACAGTTTCTGGTCCAGCTCCTCTTCCGGAAATAACAGATTTTGCGTATCTTCATATGACGCCGCCTGCCGTGAGAGCGCCTCGCATACCGCGTCATCCTTTGCCGGAAGCCAGCCATGGATGAGAGGGATAGAGAAGGTCGAGTAGAGAACCATCTCTCTGGTATGCTCAAACGTGCCAGGAATCATATCGGTGCGTTCAGTGGGATGAAGATGCGTGAGTGAGGTCCGCTTGAACGCCGTCACCACTTCTGGAGTTGGCACAAAACGCGGGTTGACGTTCATGCCGGTGTGAAGCCCCTTGAGAAAGTCGTACAGCTCTGTCACGTCCGGGAGGGCAACGTCAAGCTGTGCGCGTCTTTCCGACATAAGCTCGTCAAACACGGCGTCCAGAAGCAAACCGAGGCTTACTTGCTCACGCGATCTCAGCGTCTCAACGAGCGCCGTGTTCGTCTTTTCTGCCGGGGTCGTCAGGGTAAGGGCGTTGACCCAGGGCAACTTAGCGGGCACGGCCCGTTGGCGTTCTGGACGAGGATCCGGCGACGTCCTGGGAATTTTTGGCAGCCGTTCGCATCGTGCCCAGGAGATGTTCTTGACCTGGTACGTCTTCCGACTTGTCGACAGGCCGAGAGGGTTGCACGGGCGGCAGCTCGGCCGTACGGATTTGGGTGCGGCGGTGGGAGCTACCTCGGCAGCTGATTCTTCCAGGGGGGCCGCCTTGGGGGACCGCCGCAGGGGGGACTTCGGGGTCTGCCTTGGTAGCTATTGGGGGAGTCGTTGCGGGAGCCGTCGTGGGAACCGTCGCGTGAGTCGTTTGACCGACGGGATCTTCATCCTTGAAATTTTCCCACGTGCTTTGCCTCGAGAGTGGTTCCGGATTTGGCTCTATATCAATCAGGTTCCAGTCATCAGCCCCCTGTGGAACCCTTGCTCGGTACTGGGGGTGGTTTTGCGATGTCGTCGAAACCTGTAGCTGCAGGCGGTGCCGAGAGGGTCTGGCCTTTGAGCTCCTCCCCCCATGCGCCTTGACCCTCCCGTTTAGGTTCGTCTCCCCATATACTTTGGCCCTCCTCAGAGGGCAGAGACACGAGCGCCGGAGATTCTGACCCCAGCCCAGGCGTAGGTTGGCGGGACGGCCGAGCTGATGCCCACGCGTTGTTCCCATCGTAGTCTTGCTCCAGTAGCCTCGGGGCTGGCGGGGTGATGCCGCTAGCCTCGTCCACGGGTGATTGCCAAGGATTTGGTCTTGACTCGTTCACGCCGAGCTGCGAAAAGTCCACGACTGGGACAGACGGCACGGGCGGAATATTTGACGGTGCTCCTGGCTTGCTCTGGCCGGCCCCAGACGCACTGAGCGACATCTTTCTCTTAAATGGATTCGTTTCTGGCTTGGAACTTCCCCCAGGCCCCAGGTCTGCTTCCACACCATGGCTGCCACCTGGCCTTAGTGCCGCCGGTACTTGGTTCATGTCACCCGTGTTAAACGCGGGAACCCTCTCCGCCCAGATGTTATCCTCCTCGCCCAACTCGGAAACGCTGTCGGTGGGACCCGGCTGCAAAGACCTCGGCAAATCGGCTGGCGTGAAGTTCGTCATTTGTCGAGGCTGCTGTTGTTGCTGCGTACCGTCCCTCCATATCGCCTCATCTTCGCCATGGCGCGGGGACAACGCATCGCGCGGCACAGCCGGGTCAAGCGCTGCCGATTCTGGGAGCGGTTTTCGGGTTACCATTGCGTAGACACAAACTTAGTGCCAGAGTTGAAAGGGTAAGATTGGGTCGGCCCAGTCTCAAAGAAGAAAGAAAACGCCGCCGGGGGTGTCAAGTGTTTTTGGGTGGTTGAACCTAGGTCTGGGGGGAGGCAGCTCCGCTAGGCTCTGGTAGGTCAAAACGATCGGTGGATTGCACCAAGGATGGGCAAGCGGTAATGGTAGAGGATTGATTCGACTGTATAGGTTCTCTCCAAAGGAGAAAAAAAGGCCCAAGTCGCTATTGTAATCAGGGGGGAGCCGCTGTGCACAGTTGCATCCTTTGCGAAGGCCGGGATGCCTCGCCGTGGTGGCGTAATGCGACTTTGGAGGGGTTGAATTAAATCGAAAGGAATGTCAACCGGCTACTGAATGGCGTTGTATGTTAGGCAGGTTGAATAAAAGCTTGGTTCAGGAAGGGTGGGATGTAGTGCGTACAGTGGCATCCCCAAACCCCTGGTTATCCAAGAGTTTCTCGAAGTTTACGCGGACAATTGTAGCTTCGCTCCTGAAGCTCGTGGTGGTTGGAGGTTGTTGGCGAGCACCGAGCTCCCGCAGCACCCCAACCGTCATGATCACGACCCTGTCCCACTAATTTCCTCGCAGCTGGTGACAGGGGTGGCTTGAAAGGGCAAGTGGTTTGTGGAGGCGGCAGGGGCCAGTCCAATCGGACGGTTCTCAGCTTTCCAGGCCTCGTCATCCCTCCAACAGGCTGTTGATGTTGCCACCAAGCCCCTGCGGTGACTTCGAACAGAGATGTCTATGATTGCGCGTCTCACACTTGACCGAAAAACGGGAGCTGAAACTTCTTGCATTACGCGGTGCACATCGTTTCCCATCACAGTAACTACATCTTCAAGTCATTATTATTATTACTTTGTACTCCCGTTGCCCTTGAATCTATCCATTGTGCCATTGTGCCATTGTACATGTCACACCTGGTCTGAAAAGTTGATGCCGAAACAATTGTACATACAGGTAGGGATGTCACGGTTCCTAGCTTCGCATGTGGCCTTGAAAATGTATGTCAATTCAAGAGAGGTCTCGTGGGCTGCAGATGCAAAGAACCTCCAACGCCAGCAGGCTCCCGTATCAGAAACAACATATTTATATAACACAAAGATCTATGCCGCATTCACAACGCTCCCACTACAAACATTAACCCCTCCAGCTCCCTTCGTGCTATACTCCCAACGAGTTCAACCTGTTACACGCCGGCATGTCAAATGCTTTCGCGACTTCCATCTTATCCGGGTCCTGGAAGAACCAGCCCTGTGCCGCGTTGCGCAATTGCTGTTTATGCGACACCTCGTTCTCGCACTTGATGCGCAATTGCTGCACGAGCACAACCTCGGCCCTCTTGTCGAGCGACGCTAGCTTGGCAGGGGTGTAGGAGTGGACGTCGACCGGGTTAAGGTAGTATCTGACCTTGAAATGGGGCATGGTACGCTCCATCGTGTACAGCGGCGGGTGCGGTTCGTCGAAGACCATGCTGGGCGTTGCCGGTGTCGAGGACGAAATACCCGAAAATATGGACGAGAGGATGGGCCAGACGACGAGGAGAAGAATGGGCAACAGCCCGAAAATAGTAGTCCATATGCTCGCCGGCTCTTCTTGCCCTGGGTTGCGAGGCCTTGCCCGTGGCCGCGCGCCGCCGAACTGATGCACCCGAACGCCTGGCCCTCCTCCGAAATTAAAGACGAACTGTGGCCCGCCATCAAAGCCTAAAGACTGTTAACTTGGTCCTTCACCAACAGGGGCATTTTGGAGAAATTCACTCACCTCCGAAAGGCCCTCCAAACCCACCTCCCCCAAAGAACCGCGCAAACATCTCCTCAGGACTGATCTCTTCCTCCCCAAACCCCCCGCCGCCACCGCCTCTCCGCGCGAACCCAGCAAACGGATTCTGCTGGGCCTGCGCTTGGGCGTTGGCGAAGCGGCTGTCGGGGTCGGTGCCGAAGCGGTCAAACTTGTCCCTCTTCTCCTTGTCGCCCAGCACGCTGAACGCGCGCGCCACCATCTTGAAGGCCTCATCGGCGTGCTCGTGGCCGTTCTTGTCCGGGTGCGTCAGCAGCGACAGCTTGCGGTACGCTTTCTTGACCTCGCCGTCGCTGCATGACTTTTGCAGTTCCAGGATCTCGTAGAAGGCCGTCGGCTGGCATCGCCGGATGCGCAGCACCGCCGCCTTCTGCTCGACTGTGTACTTGCGCTCCTGGTTGCCCTGATTGTGCTCGCGCCGGTTGCGCGCCGCGTCGCTTTGGGCCGCCGAGGCCCCGGAAGCGGAGGCGTCGGGCATGGTGTCGGACTCGGATGTCGAGGTGGTATTAGGTCGAGAAGGGAGCCTGCTCCAGAGGGGGGGATCGGCTGTTCGAGGAGAACTAGGGATTCCCGACTTCGATTAATCTCGTTCTGATCCGAAGATGGCAACTTTCAGTGGAACAGACTGGACTACTCGTTCCCAATACGTGTGAGCGTCCTCATCTCAAGAATCCAAAATATCAGTCGC